TTATCTTACAGTGAAAAACAGATCCAACAGAAAGATATTACAAATTGTCCAATATTTTTGTCCAGTTTGTGTTTGAGTACTTTGTCTTAATGGATTTCTAAAATTATTTATAATTCAGTAATATAAAACATTTAGCACAAGGAAAAATAAAGCTCAAGATGCTAAATAAAGCTAAATGAATCTTGAGCTAATAAAGCTCAAGATGGTTTAATTTCATTTTCTTTCCCTTAAAGAATAATGGGACGCCTCATAGAAAGCATTTTATTTGGAAAGAGCCTGAAGCAATGCTTTCTGACACTCAACAGAGGGTATCAGTTTAGTCCTTTCTGACACCTCTTTTATATGTAAATATAAAGAGAACCCATGAAAGTAGAGAAAAAAGACTTACTTTTATCTTGACTGTAAAGTTACGGATCAGCCTTAGAAATTCCTGTGACTGGACTAATTCAGTATTCGGGTGCTAGAAAATCTAAATTTAATTTTCTTCTTTGTCAGACTTGCTATGTTATGCTTGGCAGATCACTTGTTTAATCTCTATATCTTATATCCTCTTACACTGAGTTTTCTCCTCTATCTGTTTACACAGTCCAGCCCAAACTGAAAAACAAGGCTCTCTGGGTGCCCTTGTAGTACGAGAAGCTTTTGCTTGTTGCTTCTCACTTAGAGCTATTTGAGACATTTCCAATTTATAAGACAGTATAGTTAGGTATTACAGGTAAAATCTTTTCTTTTACAATTCTTGTGAATTTAATCCAATGTACATAAATCCCCCTTATTAAATGACCCACATGACAACATGGTGTCGCAAACAGAAAGCTTATGCATGATGGGCAGGCAGATAAGTATACAACATTGAGTGTAGTATTGAAGAAAGGGAAAACAAAGGGAAACCTTAGAGTGAAGTGGAGTTTTACATAAACGAGGGTACACATAACCAGGAGTTCTTGAATCCAGGATAATGAATGAACCAGTTCCTTTCTGCAAGCTAAAATTAGTCTATTCTTTTTATGACACTGATAACCTATCTGTAGCTGGGCTTCTGCCAGGCTTTTGTATTTGCCACCATTTTGGACCCATGTATTTTCCTCTTCATTTATGTGTCTCTGTAGCCTTTCATCCTCTCCTTCAAGCAGATCAGCCTGTGCAGACATTCTCATAACTCTCTTATGGTAGTCCTGCTTTTTGCAAGCAATCTGCAATTATAGATGACCTCCCCAAAGAGCCTCTTGGATTTAAGCCATTGTCACGTGAATCAAGTAGTCCCTATAAATCCTTCTCAGCTTTATCAAGCACTTTAAAAAAAATAGCAAAGTAATTGGTTCCCACTGCTTATTTTGCTTGTTTATGGTCTTCCTGGAAATTGTCTCTGGTTTTAGGTGGATTCAAACATGTCTAAAAGGTTCTTGGGGTGTTTTTGACATGTAAGCTTGAAAGCTCTGTGCTTATGTGGTGCAAGGATTTATCTTTCTGTGCTAGCAGATTAGCATAGTGACAGTAAACCAGCCATATAGATTAAATAGAGTTTGCAGTCTGATCCAGCTACACATGGAAAGGCTATGATACCAGTCAGCCTCCATAAACTGTACAAAAACAGATTCCCCAAATTCTCAGAGGTGTTCCTGTATTTTGTCCATTGAATAAGCATGGTTATGTCCTGGTAGTAGGAAGCTTCATGCAATGTGCTCTTCCATAAGGTAAACTCTGGTTTTGTCATAGCTGGGAGGTCTCTGTGTGGAATTCTAGCTAAGTCAAAAACAGTACTGTTGCGGATTAATTGGAAATAGCCAGTTTAACCCCCCAGCTAACATAAGTATGTTTTTTTCAATTCAGTCAAGGAATACAGGTTTATAAAATGACTTTATAATGGTTTTTGAGGAATTGTTTCCATGAGAGAATCAAGAGAGATGAAAAACAGAAAGGGTTGCTCTTCAGAAATGGGCTGCATACAGGAAATAGGAAACGTATGTGTCAACTTTGCTTCCAAGTTCCAACACTGACATGAAACAAGACATAACGAAGGCTGTTTCAGGGAAGAAGTTTCCACTTCAATAGGTTGAATCACACATGGCAGCTAAGAGAAGGCAGCATAATTGAAGCACTGTTAATAATAATGTTGTTGCAATTTCTGGTGTGGTTAATAATTCTATTGTTGCTGTTGCAATAATGTTATGGTTGCAATTGATTAGGTGAAGTTTAAAAACTGTGTGCAGAAGTTCCCATTCCCACTTCAGGACAAGAAAATGATAGATTGAGCTGTTTGCGCTCTCGTCATTTTGTTCTATTTTCATTAGACCAAAGCTCTTATCCTGATTCTAAACTAGCCATAGTATTTCATTTGCTTTTAATTGCATTGGATTTCTCCCCTAGTTGTACTTCTGTTCATTAAATTGTTTTTAAGTGTTGTCCTCAATGGAATTGCAGAGGAGAGAAATGTTTTCCCATAGCTCTATGCAATGATTGCAACATTTTAAAAAGAAAAACATAAGAAATTTTTATGTTTTTAATTATTAAATCCACATTACTTCCACGTCTTTACCACTGAGCTTGAGAGAAGATTTGAACTGCCCGTATGCCTTTTCATTTCACACTGAATTTATAGGAAGTTTCCAAATAATAACAGTGAACTTGGCAGGAATAAATTTAGACCAAATGGTGTAATTCCCACAAGGAAGCATAATTCTCTTATGAAGTATTTACAATAGCAAGCTTGGAAATCCAACAATAGGTTATATTGTTAATAGATTGTTTGTAGTATCTTTTATTGACTGATTCATTCCTAATGGCAACAGATTTAGTCACCTAACATTCTTCATATGGCAGGCAGTTCAGTGTTCACTGTTGCTTTAAGAATTCTCTCAGGTATGAGAAAGTTTCTTTTTGACATAAATCAATAAATAGGACATAAATAGGACCTTGCAAAGTTCAGAAGTTCCCTGAAATGTTACTGAACTTTCTGATGCTCCCTTCCTGTGACCTGCCAATAACCCTTATCTCCCCTGCCTTCATGACCCTTTAATGTTTCCCTGGCTCTCCATTCCCTTCATCCTCAGAAAGGGCTTGGCTATTTCCCAACTTAGATTCATCCAACTGGCCACCCTCCTTGGAAGCTCTCCCAGTCTTTCAAGCAGCCTTGCAGTACAGTAGTCTAAATACTAGTTTGCAGTAGTACTAGTTTGCTAGTAGTCTAAATACTAGAAATTTAAATTTCATGAACTGCTGAACCTGTTATTTTGATATCTGAACTAAAAATTCTGGTGCTATAGTTCTGTGTAACCGTCAGTGTATATCATGATGATACACCTGATAGCTTCAGACATGAGAGGATACTACAGCCACACACTTCACCTTGTTTTTCAGCTTATTGCAGTTATCTAATACAGTTTTGGGTGAAGTGTTAACTTTGAATGCATCAAATACAACGGTCCTCAAAAATTTTATTTTTAACAGCTAGCTACAACATACTTGGTCACAGATTTGTTCCAGTACAAATCACAGACTGGGTCTGATGGTTTTCACATTTTCCAATTTGCCTAGAAATAAATACAAGCTTCAAAGGAATTTTCTGTAAAATAAGAAATTATCCCAAGTGTTCCAGAAATATGCAGCTTTGTGAGTATTTAAGGAAGCAGTGTCAACGCAGCAATCTAAACATTTTTGTGTACCTGGCAAAAGGATGACTACTCACATTAACCTGGTGACAACTTGATTTTTCACTGTTGTCCCTGTACTTAAAACACCCATTAGAATATTTGTAAGAGACTAGAATGAGCTCAGTCTGCTTCTCAGACTATGTCATTGTAGTTGGGTATAGTAAAATTCAGCCAAGGGTTTAGAGGTGGGACAGATAAGGGTGAAAAGGCTGTTGACTGGGAACAAAGTCTTCAATGGTGACATGGCAAAAAAGCAGTAAAAATATCCAGGTTGGATGGTTGCAGCAGAGGAAGTGAACCAGGACACCAAGATAGCCAGTGTGGATATGTTTGTGTGTTAGGAATCCCCAACAAGTTTGGAAGGATTTAGATAAAGTCTGGGATATTCAGTAAGGGAAAGATGACTTTAGCCAGATATTTCTTCTATTACAGATAAAGTAGACTGTCCTTGGCAGTTACCTATCTATGCGATGTGCTAATTTGGTTTTTTATTTTTCCATGCAATTAAAACAGTAGCCTCTGCCATACATGTGTACAGTCTGAATTACATTTTTTTAATCCTTGGAAGACCAGCCCAAAACTCTGTAAGAAATGAACATTTAAGGGATAAATCACAAATTTATCTGTTTACAGGGGTAGACTGGACATTGAAAAACTGAAATGTATCTTCTAATATCTGGAGACTAATCAAATGCAGTTCCCTTTCTCTCTCATCCAGCATGTACTTCAGCCCCCAAAGCACCTCAATAAGCCTTATTATTAAGAAGCCTGCTCCATTTCATTAATAACACTCTTGTACTGGGAGAATCGAGACTGGTCAGAAAATTTGAGACACCACAAGTGCTGACTTTAGGGACCTAATTACCTCCTTCAACGAAATTGACTGGGAACACATTCCTTTCTGACTGTCCCTTTGTAGATTGGACATTGATGTCTCTCTGCTGAGTGACTTTTTCTTATGTCTCTGAAGACAGGGAAATGATGTTTAAGTATCTTCAATTTATAACCTTTGAAAGTTTATAAATTGAAGAAATACCAGTTCTATCAGTAACTGAAAATAAAGCATATTGGTTATACACCCAACGCTTGCAAATCATCAGTTTCAGTTTGTGCAAACCCATCTTATTTCATGTCCTTCATGATTTTACAGTCCTCTGGGACCAGAATTTCAGATTTACATTGTTCAGCTGATCACTACAGTTAAGAATATATTTGATGTTATTTATCTGCCATTTAAAAATATAACAGATTAGTAAGGTTAATTATGCCTTGTGATAAACCAGTGGTTGGGAACCTTAACTAGAGAGAACACATTTATTAATTTATACTAATTTCATTTGTTTCAGGTTCGTGTAAGAACAAAAGACAAAAGGAAAACACACAGAAACCCCCTTTCTCTCCTGAAACAGCCATAACGTTCAGTGTTCCAGCTTTGAAGTCCCTAATATATTTTGGCTCATGAAAGTGGATTAAGAAGATGTAGAATCATTTTGAATAACAGACTTTCCCAAGCTCTTTTTGCGTAGGAGAGAGAAGTTTCTTGAAATGTGATACCCTTCATGACAACAAATGTCAGGAAAAACAATATGAACAAAACTTGCTGTATTCTATCAAGTGCTGAAGAAGCCCCTGTTATTATCTCTAGCACCTTGCCTTTAGAGCAAGTTTCATGATCTAATGTGACAGATCTTCCCAGAATTTTCTTTAAAAAAGTAGTACACCTAGAAGCTGCATCCAAGAAAAGGTGACCAGGCACTGCAGTAATATCACAACAGTCATATTCTTCAGACATGTCTCAAACACCCTTGCCAAGAAGACCTCCATTCAAGGTATGCTGTATCTGTGGCAGAGAATTTGGGTCACAATCTATTGCTATACATGAACCTAAGTGCCTACAGAAGTGGCGTATTGAGAACAATCAACTACCAAAGCACCTTAGAAGGCCAGAGCCCAGGAAACCTGAGATCCTTGCTGGTTCTGTGTGGAGTTGTGTTTTCTTTTTTTTTATTGCGGTTGTATCATGTATTCGTGTTGTTCTATGTACCCCCCTAATGTATTTGGTTCAGTCCCCAGTTTCCCGCCTTCCCACCCCTGTCCATCATCCCTGAAAATGCCTAATCATTCCCCTGTCCCCTCCCGGGTGCCTTGTCCGTCATCCGGTGTCCCTTCCCATCCATCTAGAAGCTTCTACTCAGGGCATTGGGTGATTGGACGAGGGTCTGGGGCTCCTCCCATACTCCTCTCCCATTGGTTACTGCCCCATATCACCCCACCAGCGAGCCACTCCCAACTGTTTCCCTATTTGTTGTTATCCCCTCCTACCCCCTTTATATAATGATGTTACTCTCCTCCCGGTGCTTTCTCCGCCAGGCACCAAGCCTGTTCGTTGGTTCCTCACTCCTGTGTTGTCCACATTGGACCTATTAAAGAGGATTTCAGCCCCCGGAGTCGGACACTTCTTTCACATCGCCTGGGGATCTGGTCGCGTCTCCTTCACCCACCCAGTGCTTCTCAAAGCCCAAAGCGGTCCAGCGGGGAGCGCTGGGAACCTGCTCACCCTCTCCCGAGCGGAGAGCTAGCCTGGGCTGAAGCGGAGTTTCGGGAGGGAGTGCGGCAGTTCTGGTTCCTATACACTTACAGATAAAAATGAAGCAGCTTATAATAGTGCTCAAGCCCAGCTGGTGCCATGTAGAAACTGTGGCTGAACCTTTTTTCCTGACTGTCTTCCCGTGCACGAAAGGTGTTGCAAAGGAAGTGGCCCCAGTGCTAGTAAATCTGGCAAAGCACCAAGATCCAGACCTGGCTCAGCAAGGGGTGATCCATCTAAGGCCCATCAAGGAATGAGCAGGGCTACACCAGCTGTATCAGACCAGGTAAATTGCTAAGCATGTGCTGTATGAAAGGGTGTGCATGCATCTTGATTCTTGGCACTCCAGGGGAGACTGGCTTGCCATCAAATTTAAAATCACTTTTCTTCAGAAGGACCTTTTAGCTTCATGCAAATTTTTCACTGCTAAATAGAGGATAAAAAAAAGGGAAATACTGGGAAAGGAATAAGGTGAACTACTTATTCCTATTTATTTTGATTTTCCTTTTGAATGGGAGTAGTTGGGTTCTCTGTTGTCCTTTAGAGTTATATCCCCAAGAGGGACCATTGCTTGATTTAGTTCCCTAGGAGATTCTATTGAGCAGATTAAGCAAGGTTTGGATGTCATATGTTTTAGGAGATGTTAGGTATTTTTATTTAGTTACCATGAAATGCAATGTTTCGTTGTCCTGCAAGCATCCAGCACTTGAAAACATGATTTTCATATTTTACTGTTATTCTTAACCTTGGCATGTAACATGAGTTTACTGAGGACTGCATGTTCAAAGGCAGCAGTTCTGGGTATAACAACAACAAAATAAGTAAGACTGCATATTTTTTTCCACTGAATTTGATTCAGGATCCAAGAATAAAGAAGCTGATTCACATTATCCAAAAGCTACACAGAGTTTTGGAAATTGGATATTTTTTTCTGCATTTCTTCCTGCACAAGCTGTCTTTTGGCCAGAAGTTTTGTAAGATAGTTGTCTAAATTTAGGCCCAGTGTTCAAATTAAATGGCCTTTTTATTTTTTTTTCCAAATGTAGGCTGGAATCCTGATTGCCTACATTACTTTTGAATATGGGATTTAGGTCTCTCAGTCGCCAAAGGAATGCAATGCTATGCAGAGCATTTCTTAAGATGCTTTAGAAGGCAAAGAGTGTAACATTAGTTTACCAGCTGCTGAATAAAATCAAGATAATAGCATTACCCTAGCTCACATGAGACTAAAGGCTTATGAGTCCTATTTTTACTATGCTATATGAGGCTACAATTGATATATTTTGGCAAATATATTTATTATGTTATATGATGCCACTGATTGATATATTTTGAAAAATTGATATATATTTGGCAAATTTGCTTTTATCAGCAAATTTTACATTAGCCACAAGCAGTTCAAAGTGCTGCACAGCTGCATTTATAGTTGTAGGAAAAGTGATGCTGTTTACACTACATTGTGCTCTTTCCCAAAGAACTGTCATTGCTCTAATGGTGATGGTTCAATGAAAGGCATGGGTGTGAAGCAGAGAGTTTAATCTACCACGCATAATTCTGTAGATTATAAAAGAGAGGGACAGGGCAATTTTCTATAATTATGATCCCATAAAAGGAAAGTTTAGAGTATGGTTAAGCACTGACAGTGACTGTAAAAAATGTTGCCCTCTTGCACAACATATCTTCTCCCTTTGTGGATTCACTCACATCTGCTGACTTACTGAACAACAGCATTATTGCCACTTTTTACTTCTGTGAGCTCTGCAGAGCCAAAATGAAATCTGTTCAAATCTGTTCTTCTGTGTGAACAACAGGTTCCCTCATTTACTTCCAAGCAGTTACAGTTCATCAGTTGCAGCAGAACTAATGAGGCTGTACAGCTTGCAGTTTGTAGTTGACTTTGAGGGACTTCATTATTAACAGTGACTTTCTGGAAGAGATGATGGATTTTACGTCTCTGAGGTCAATTCTTTAGTACAGAATTATGTATTAAAGGCAGATACAGGACGGGAAGATTGAAAGAAGTATCCTGTGATGCAAGGCATTCTTCAGGACTTGCAGACAGCTTATAAGAAGCTGGCAAAGGAAGCTACTTTCCTGTAAATTTAAATTCTCTGTGGGAGAATCTTCATTTCCATTTGAACATTTTGAAAGGTCCACACATTGAAGGGGTATGGAAAAGCACCAAGCTTATGCAATAACTGCAGATTAGTTATGAAAAGGGACAAGGTCTGTGTCTCCACTAAAGTCTTCCTCTTTTTCCAGCATATGGTTTTCATTTTGCTCACCTTACCAGCTACTCAGCTGCTTATTAATACTGTTAAAAAACAGTGCTTCATTAGTGGTGGAGTGAAATGGCTACTGTTCTGGTCCTGGTAGGAAAGCATTTGGGGCAGTCTCTGTCTCATCTGACAGGCTCACTGTGACAGTGAATTATTTAAGTACTTGCTTTAAAGTTCTGATTCAGCAGAACATCAGAGGAAAGCAATAACTGGAAAAAAAAAAAAAAAAACACCCAGCCCTTATGTATTTAAGAGAATTAGTGCTACTGTTAAGTAAATTTATGCAATGAAAGATGCCCTAAATGAAAAACCTGTATCTTCATAATTTTCAAAATAAAGTTCTGACTGATTTAGTGGTATACCATGTAAAGTGCATTTTAACTTTACAACTGCAAGCACTTCTCCCTGTAGGCTTCTGCCTTTATGCCCTGGAGTTCCTTCCCCTTTAGCAAGTGTGGCATCAACTTGGCCAGTATCATTACTGACAAACTCTTTCTCAGTTCTGCATTAAATGTCTTCAGACGTGGAGGCTGAACAGCCTCTGTAAGCTATCTCTTCCAGTACCTGTCCTCATTCTCAGAATCATTGAATAACATCTGAGTTAATCATGTCTCGCTGTGTAGAATAACAGCCTATGCTTAGATACTCTCAAGGGTCACATCAGCTCAGAAATTCTGCTTTGGATTCTGCTGTGGACACCTCAGACAATGGAAGTGGTGTTTGCAGCTACTGAAACTCAGACTTGGACTGAAACAGTCTATGTTCTATTGTTTCATAGACAAAAATATGTGATACATGTAAGTGAGCATCAATAATTTGCTGTCCATATATGAGTTATGGGGCATTTGACAGTAGATAATGCTGATCTTAAAAGCCTATTAGATGGTGCTGCCATCTGCTGTTTTCTTCTTATCTGGTTAACTACCTAAAAAGATTTCACTGATCTTCCTTTGGTGAATTGTAATACATTTTAAGTGTAAGTCTTGAAAATTTGTGTAGCAAGAGCTTTGATGTTGTATTTTGCTCTAGCATAAAGCCATGTAGCATCTTGGTAAAGGGAAGGCTTCTTCAGGTGCAGTATAGTTCTAATGAAGGTGGAAGGTCAATGATGAGCTTTTTTTGCCAAATTGCAGTGGTGTTGAATACCTTCCTAGGAGAATACTGACAAATAAATTTGCAAATATAGAAAGTTAGATGAGAATCGACAGTGAATGGATGGTTTGAATGAAACTTACTGAGTATTATCGTTGGGAATCACTGTGTCCTTCCTTTGCTTCTACATGGATGTGCTATTCATTGTATTGACATACTCAATTTAAAACGAAAGCACATCAGGAGCAAAATGGGATATCTCATGCTTCCGGTGGAGTGATATTTTTAATTGTATGCATAATCTTGCAGAATTTGCATGCTTTTCAAGGCATATGATCCTAACATGAGTGCTGTTGTAGGCTGTGAAGTGCAGCTTTGGACAGTCATGAGACCCATATTATACCTTGTCCTTAATCCTTATGCAAATGCTTTTTACTTGGCAGAGAGGAATGTGTGAAAAGGGTTGCTTTCATACAATAGAATGCTGCTGCTAAGTGCTTGCACCATTCTTCTCCTGAACCTCTAATCCATGGGCAATTCAAGTCTATGACAAGCTCCATCCTAGAGCCGGATGCCCTCCCCCTTCCCATTAAAATAAATGGATAATTAAACAAATAATAAGGGAAGAGGTGTGTGCAGTCCTGGATGATAAATATTTTTGTAGGGAAGTTTGGGATTCAGTCTTATTGTGTGTACTTAAGAAAAACTAAAAAGCTTTGTGCAGTATGGAAGGATTTGACCTCATGTAACACCATAACAGCAGCCTGGGGCTAACCTTAAGTAATGTCAGGTCTATTGAAAATACATAGTTGCATAGCCCTCTGAACTAAATAACTTCATTCATAGTCACACAGACATACTTAGCAGTCTTGGAGTAAAAAAGAAAATACTGAGACACCAGAGGAAAGCCTAACTACACTGTTAGGTATTTGTAGGTATTTTTATAATAACACGTATCCTCAGGAACAGACCTTCCCTACAACCCTTTTTGAAAGTTAAAAACAAAGCAGTGAACAGAGAGCCTAGCCACTGGCTTGTGAGACGTTTGGGTTGGAAAATTGTGGTGTTTCCGAAAATAGTTTAGTTTCAAACTGCAGGCCTCCAGATGTTACATTTGGGATAGGCACACTGAAAACAAAAAGAAATGAAGGGTAAATATAATCAGCTGTAGAAATTCCAAGTAAAGCTTATAATATCTTGGATTCCACATTTTAAAAAGAAAAATCTCTTAGTACCAATTGTTAGGCTAATCTCTTTCAGGTCTTAAACATGTGTGCAGAGAAGAATTTGTGTATATAATTGTATGTGTGGTGATGGGTCAATCTCAGTATTTTGCTGGAATAAAAACAATTCTATCCTAAGAGTGATCGATTTCTTTTAATTAATTCTGCTTTCTCCTGTTGTTTCTGTACTATTTTTAATTGTGGAAATTGCAAAAGACAGACAGTTCTACTTGAAAAGATTTCTGCATTTGTACTAGGATTTCTTTTTCTGTTACCATATGAAGAGTCCCTACAATCTGAATATAAATCAAATGGCTCTTTCCTAGTTCACAGCCAATAAGTAACCATTTAAATTAATAGCAGGAACCCAGCTAATGAGAACTTGTGGGGAAAGTGTGTTCCCAGTGATTTTACACCTAGCATTTTTTAAAAACCATTTCTAAAATAGTATAACCATACCCACAGCAGGCATGCACACTAAAAAGAATTCTCTGACCTCAGGAGTTTAGATTGTAGTATCCTCACCTAAAGCTCTCCAGAGCCTATAAATAAATGTATATTGTCTTCAGAAGACTTTGTATCTGGACCCAGAGTCTTACTTTAAAATCAGACTAGTTCTAGCTCACAATTTGAAATAAAGAAGTAGGGGAAATTTGATAATGAAAAGTTATAAGATGTTTTTAAAATAGCTGTGGCTGTACTTACTTAAAAAATAGGAGAATAAGGCTGTAGTTATATATATATTAGAAAATATGCTTATATAAAATACTGTGTTATCAAAGATAGCAAGGAAATTCCATTTGTAAGTCAAGAGGATGAAAATGTCCTTGGAGAGTCTGTCTTTGGATGTTATGTTTCAAGACACTGTGAGAACTTTCCAGATGAAGTACAACTTTTCCCAGAAAAAATACACTTTATAGAGTAGTATTTCTTTCATGTAAGTGAGATTACATGTGTGATACAGGAAGGCAATCTTATGCAGATTGTTCACTAATGACATTTTCAGACTGTAACATAAATACGAGAAGAGCTGCCCAGAATTTCATGAACACATTGATGGGCTGACAGAAAGAGTAATAAATATGGGAACAGGTTATGCTTTGTCTTGCACAGCAGCAGAGGAAAAAATGAAAACCCCCACCACTCTTGTTTGAGTGAGAAAGGTTTCCTGTATTTGGTCTGGCATGGCTGTCCATCTAACTTGAGGAGGGCAGGGAATAGCTCATCTCTTACTGGTATTCTGCAGTCAGAAGTGTAGGAAGTACTGGCAGTTGTGAAACCCATCTGTGTGCCTCAAAGTTCTTCTCTACAGCATGTTTTTATCCTACTTCCCGAGCACTGAGCCTGGTACTGACACCACGCCTAGCCCAAGACGCGCCTAAGGACACAGCTGAGTCCATAATCTGCAATACCACAGTAATTATACATTTTCCAGCCTTAGATTATGTATTTGTGAGGTTTGGGGTGGAGGAATCTTTTTCTTCTGTTGTTGAGCTGTTTTCCTCTGAGAACAAAAGCAGATCTTCAATGTGGAAACAATGAGTTGCTTAGAGTCCAGTTCTGCCCTTGCTGCAGTGACTGGCAAGGTTCACACTAAGGCCTTTGGTATAAACAAACAGAAGTTCCTATTTTGCCCCTCATCCTGAAATATCCTGGCTTGGTTTTAATATTTGAAGGCCAAGAATTCCACCAGCTAACTGATCTGTGTCGGAAGTTGGGTAAAGAACCACAATCACCTCTTGGGAGAGCTGACCTCACTTTCCAGCTTAAGAGAGATACTAAGGCTTTAGTATCACAGCACTTTGAGCTGTGTTCTGATAGAAGATGGAGTCTTTCTAGAAGTCAAGAGATCAGCTGATGAAGCTTTTGTTGCTGCTTTCCCTTTTACATCTGCTTGGTAAGTAAAAAAATGCTTCAACCATTTAAGGTGGATGCTGCATTGCAACCTGATGAAGCAGAGATGTTTTTTCTGCATGTGAAGACTTACCATTTTCATGAACTTGAAGATATGAAAATAAAAGAGGTGAAACTTAACACAGCTAAGTATAGATTAGTCACATCAGTCAGCCCAGCATCTGCAGAAGAAACCCTCCTGTTCCAGGTGCTCACTTAATGAGGCAGTATTAATTCCAAACAAAACTAGACTGAAAAAAAATTACACAGATTTCACAGGTAGCACGTTCCTTATCTACATGATTGCTTTCATACAAAGTAATTCTGATTCAAAATGAATATTGAAACATTATTTTTTCTCCTTCATGGTTGTTATTTGCAGGCAAAAGTGATAAGATGCCACCAACAGTGATTTGTTACATATGTGGCCAAGAGTGTGGAACAAAATCTATTAGTATACATGAGCCACAATGCCTGAAAAACTGGTGCTGGGAGAATGACAACCTCCCCAAGCACCTGAGAAGGCCAGAACCCAAAAAACCTGAAGCCAGAACCATACAAGGTAAGCTACAAACCAAATTAAGAGAGATGAGCAAATAAGTGGGAGGAATTAAAAAAGATATTTTAAAGCAATAGGTAAACAGTTTACAAGTACTTTGTTCTCCAGTTTGTTTTAAGCTTTCCTTCTGCTTCACAGAAAGAAAACTTTATTATAATAAAGTCTTGAAAGTAAAAGTAGTCACTATCCATGGAAAATGGCTCCGGTGACATTCACCTCTATGTGTCAGTGTGTCCTGAAGCAAAACACAAATAGATTAGCAACCTGCTTCATAGCTACACTACTACTTTTTGACTTCTTTTAACACAGGCCTGTCTTAAAGAAAGCAAAAACATCCAAGAATAATGTGCAGACACGATAAAGAATCATTAAAATAAAATGCCCTCAGGCAACATATAGCTGTAGATTCTTCTACAGTCAAAAACCCATATTCATCCCTTTTTATTTACAAGTCTGAGAAGCTTTCATTGTGAGACACTGTAATGTACACACAGTGGGGGAAAATATATATGTAGTACAAAGCAAACAATTAATTTTTTGCCAATTTTACATGTTTGTGCTGTGGGTTCTGTTTTCTAAGGTTCCACTTCTTCAAATCAGTGAACACTGATGATCCCCAGCATCTCCAGAGATGGGCTGTCATATGTGTCTGGGGGTTGTATGTTCACTCTAGGATGAAAAGGAATTCCTATCTATGCTTTGCCTGGAAGCTGTTCCCACGACTTCCTATTCCCATATAAAGTTATTTCACCTTTCTTGCTGGATGCTTTCCCTGGCTCTGCCAGGTGGTCTGAGCTATTTTGAGCCAAGTTTGGACCACTTCCTCACAGGCATTTAATTCACACAAACTTTTTTTTATATTCCCCACAATTTCCCTCAGCTTCCCATAATGTCTGGAAAAGTAGACAAAGTCTCCTACAACTCACTTGTGAAAGAGTCATACACTAGATCAGTTTACAGCAGTACAAAGAAATATGTCCTCAGAAGACATAAAGAAGAGAGCAGGATCACTGAGAACACTAACCAGATGTTCAAAATAATAATCAAAGTTGAAATAATATAAAATCGGAACTTGGTTAACAGATGCCAAGTAGCATAGTTAAATCTGCAGTAAAAGATGTGTTCAAAAGACATCTTCATTGTATTTGCCTTTTTAGATGTTAAACACTTTTTCATTATTATGCATTGTGTGGTAAAATAGATGGAAAAAATGAGAATTCCATGTGAAAGAGGGGGATGCAAAAAGGCAAATCAGGTTATTTTGAAATACACTATTCTTATTTTAAAGGAGTGAAAGCAGAAATGTTGCCGTGCGAGATCTGCTCCGGGCGGATGCCTGTGGGCACGGCGGTGGGGGGTAGACAGCGGCCGCTTTCCCCTCGTCTCTGCGAGGCTCAGTCCACGCGGGAACAGACGAAATGGCGACACGGGGCTCGGGTGCAAACACGTGTTTATTGTGGAGCGTGTTCCCGAGACCCCGGAGGAGCGAGCGGGGCTCGGTTATACCCCATGCCGGGGGCAGGGGGGAACCTGAGCCGCGGCCAATGGGATGGGGGGCAGGGGACAGGGGCAGGGGACAGGGGCAGGGGACAGGGGCAGGGAAACCTCAGGGGCTGCAACGGGAAAGCTGCGGGGGGGGCAGGGACCGGACCGCATGGTGAGAGGGAGAGATAAGGGAACAAAGGGTCGGGACAAGGGACTGCGGCGGGACGGGGGGAAGGGGAATGGGGGGGGGGGGGGGGGGGAAGAGAAAATTACAATTCCCGCACAGAAAGACAACCACTCTTTGAAAAAACAATCGAGCAGAAGGCTCCCAAATATAAATCAGAAAGTTGTCTCATTTACACAAGGAGTCATATCAGATGCCACCAATCTCCTGTGAGGTGTTGTGTGCCCAAGGTTCCTCTGGGCATACTGACCTGCTTACAGCATCTGTCCCTAAATGCCTGCTGATGCAAGCCTGATCAGTTCTGTAGCTTGAGCTAAAATAGTTGTTCCCCCTGCAGCTGCCTCATATTCCTGGCCTTGAGAAAATAATCTCAGTGTTGTTCTTTTTCCATAAGGCTTACTCTTGATCATGTGGTAAATGTTTTAACTGACCTTCAGACCACATGCATGTACTGCATGTCTCAAAGTTTCTCAGCTCTGGGGGGAGGGATTACCCTGTTGTTGAATGAAACAGACAATGTTCAAAAAAGCTCAGAAATATTAACTGCTTACATAAAACTTTTTATAACTTACATAAAGTTATAAAAGTTATAAGTTTTCTGAAAACTCAAGTGTCACGGGAAGACAACCACTGCCCTCATTACACAGTGTTTTGTTTGTGGAATGCCTAACACATGCCTGCAAGGAGAAAGTCGTCTCTCTTTCTCCCTCTCCTTTTTTTTTTTTTTTTTTTTTAATTTTTTTTTTAATATTCCATAAACTTTCCAAAGTACAGAAAATACACATTCATTTCCTGAAAGCAAAGGGGATATTTGTCTCAGCCAAGAAAAGAAACACTACTTGGTTGCTCTTCTAACAAAAAGAACATTAGGAACAGGCATATTAAGAGATCTAAGGCTTATTGTGGTTATGTGAACCATTGGATATGAATCATATTAAAATTGTATGGGCCTTTAATGAAGAGCTCTATTATGTGCCAATGACAAAAACCACTGAGTATTTTTAAATGCACAAATCCTTTTCTTTCAAAAATTGTTCACTGCTAACAGTTCAAAGAAAAAAAAAAAACCCAGATTTTAAAATCTTTTTCTATATTGTCATGTCATGTTTTCAATTTGAGCCATGTAGATTTTTTTCTGCATGCACTTCCAATGAAAATCCTTAAGATCTAAATCCAGGAATCCAGGTATTAAGCAACCTGCCTGGCCTTTTTGCAAATCAGTTTGAAACAGCACTATGTGAAAATCCATTTCAAAAGGAAAGTCCATTTCAAGATGAAAGTAAGTAAACAAGATTTTTTTTTTTTAACCAAATTAAATCTTGAAAACACATCTGATTTTTTGAAGAATGGTCCTGAGTTTTCAGAGCAGTTATTCTTCCTGCAGTGGAAAATAACTGACAGTAAGGCTGGATTAGTGTTTAGATGACAAGAGATGCATCAGTGCAATGACCTCACAGGAAGTTGTGGCTTTAAAGTACTGTAGTTTTTGTCTGCAAGGTTTTTGGCTTATCTAAGTTTTACTCCACTTTTTAGTATAATTTACATAGACTCTAACAGGAAGAAAATTGGGGCCCTTTTCCAGGGCAGTACAAAGAGTATATTCTCAAGTACAATATGTTCCCCCCCATAGCCATGGTCAGATAACACATGCTTGTTAAACAGAGCTTGAAGCAAAGCTAAAAAGTGAATTTGCTGATAATAGTAGGTATGCAAAGATGTTAATAATTAGCTGAGAATACAGATCCTAACACACAGCATGATGTTTTCTCTGTACTCTCATACAAGACAAAATGATTCAGTTTGAAGTTAATTTAATTCAACCCTTGGGACAAAAACCAGAGTCTTTTTAAATATAATTTTTACTCTTTTGCTTCTTTCTTTTCTTTTTCATTTCCAAAAGCAATATGATTTGGTTGCTCAGTCAACAGGTATTTCCTGAAAATATTTTCCATAAAGAGTTGAATGTGGGTCTCCAGAATGAAAGTTGATACTTTTTTTTTCTAATTTTCCAGCCAAAGGTTTCTATGATCTTGATGCTTTAAATGAGGCTGCCTGGACCAGCGCCCAAGACCAGCTAGTTCCATGTGATATTTGTGGGCGTACTTTTCTTCCAGACAGACTGATCGTCCACCAGAGGTCCTGTAAACCAAAACGTGCAAAGTGGATGTAGCACACATGCATACAAATGCTTGTCTGCTCACACATACATAGACACACACACATTTATCCTAAGCTAAATAAAGTGTTTGTGTGTGTGTGTGTGTGTGTGTGTGTGTGTGTGTGTGTGTGTGTGTGTGCATAAATACACACACATGTATCCATGCCTTTCAGACAAACAATGAGAGAAATGAAATTAATCTGGAGAGACTTGGTCACCAAAACTTTATTGTGTAATGATATCTTGTGCTCCAAAAGTCTCCAGAGTAAAAATCAGCAGTTGCTACTAAAGTGTAAAGTCAAATACTGAAAATTACTTTGTTGAAAACAAAATTTTGCTTCTGTGTCAAAGAATCTCTGGTTGGTGTAAGGACCTTTAGCCGAACTTGACTAACCAGTGAAACCAAGTAGCTCCTTTAAGTTTTTTCATTTTTGTTTGGGTTCTCCAGTTTTTTGGGTTTTTTTTTTTTTTGGAGCACTCCAGTGTTCACATCCATATGTAACTGCGTCTTATGAAGCCCTTGACTGCTACAAGTGAAACATTCTCATATACAGGAATCCAGTCATGTGGTAGAAGCAGACACAGGCTGTTTTTAGAAAAACACCCAGAAGTGCCCTCTTTTTGTTTAAGAATGATACTGACCATGTGATTTATCCTCAGCTCAGTAAACTCATTATGTCAAAAAATTTGTAAGTCAGAGAAGCACATCTTGGTCATGAACTTTGTAAAAGAAAACATTTTAATGTCAAGACAAAATGAGCATGATGTGCCAGATGGCTGGCATAAAATACCAACCTGCCCTCTGTACCAAGCGTGGCCATAACAGAGAGCCAGTGCTGGCTGGAAGACTGGGTATTATACAAGAAAGCCATGGGGAAGGTGTTTGAAGGTGCTATTTAGAAAAATGCTGTTACGTTATGTGGAGGAATGAGTGCCAAAACACATTGGTATAGGAATAGGCTAAACATATGAAGAAAGTAATACTCCCTTTCACGAGGTACAGCAGAGAGCAATTATTATTTTACTTACTCTGAAGCATTTTATTAAGTGGTGAGGTTATTCAAAAGGTATGACATAATACAGTACAAGTTGTGAACTAGCAATCTAGGCTTCCTGATACCATGAAAGAAACTGTACCTCGTGTATGGGCTTAAGGCCTAGAGTTGTCTGTTATATATTATGTGATCGATGTGACTTTTCTCAGAGCATTCACACTTACTATTGTACTTGCAAATCAGAGGAAGTGAGTGCTTTCATACACACTAAAATGAAATATGGGTACCAGCAACTTTTCTTTTCCAAGCAATCAAGCTGTGTGATTTGTGGAGTAAGTGAAACAAGAGGTCTTTGTTCTGTTATTAGAGAAACACTCCTGGCTCCAGCCCTGGTGTGTTGTTAATTCAGACTGGAGAAGTACCAGCATTCTTTGGTGAAAATAAATTCCAAAACAATCAATGGTACCTCAGCAGCCCTTTCATCTTTGGAATGAGGATTGTATAGTCTAAAGATAGATATCTTCAGGAGTCAAAGGTTCAGTTTCTGTTCTACAGAACAAAGCTGGGTAAACCCTGCAGATCTGTTCTTAGTGTCTCCAGCATAAGATGAGGTGCTGTCGAAGCTGGACCAGTGCCATCCCTCCTCCTTTTGGCTGGGAAGAAGGCATGTGGCCTGAGGACAGAAGAACAGGGGCACTAGTTTGTGATTGCTAGACTGGCTCCTAGGAGCTGCTGGCTGGCAATATACACTGTGAGCCCCTGAGGCTGTTCTAAGTCACACCAAGTGCTGGCTCACTAACAAGTGATTTGGTAATTGGAGGATTATGGATATCATAAAATCTCACCTTTGTGTCCCCTCTTCCTCTTCTTGGAATATTCTCTTAGACACTATAAGCATTTTTTGGCTACATCTGCCTCATTGGGTCATCAACTTTCACTACATCCACTTCAAGAGCAAAAACATATTTTAAAGAAATTAAGCCTTTGCCGAGTCACTGCAGTGTTTGGCATTAAAAATTCAGCTCTGTCTCGTGTTGGGATTTATATATTGAAGTCCCTGTGTGTCATTCTGAAAGTTAGGCTTATTGTCTTGATGATTTTAAATTTCAGAGACTTCACCCAGAACATGTTTTCTGTGTTTCATTGTCAGCCCTACACTTGTATAATTTTTGGTTTCTGGAATTTTTTCCCAAAAAGCAGTAAAATCTCTCTGATGAGCTGAATGTTTATGAATAATAAAAAAGTACCAATATTAAGTGTACATTATGTCTTATCCAGAAATACCATTTTAGAGGAACTCCTGAAGCCATAAGCCTAGAGTATGTTTTCCACATCATATTTTAAAAAGGGAAACGAGGATCAGTCAAATGAAGAGCTGTCTCTGCTAGTTGGTGATTGCTGCTGAGTTCTGAATTCAACGTGGGATTTGAGAAATGGTGAGCCTTACCACTCACAAAGTAGTCAGCATTGGGCTGTGAGGGCTGATGGTGAGACCAGAGCATGCAGAAACTCAGCTGGAGCCAACAGTCCTTGGAAAGATCTCAAGGGCTGTGCCATTCCCTTCCCTCTGCATCTTCATGGGAATAATGATTTCCAAACAATGTAGAAATACAAAAATCACTGACATAGGAGTGCATATTGTTCCATTTCAGACTGTCACTCACATCTCAAGGTTACTCTGTCACAAACTTTTCTGCTGAGCTCACCAGTGCTGGTGTGTTTGCCAGTGATGATAGTGAGGTCAAAGCAAGCTTTGTTTACTGGGAGAAGCACTGAGCGTGCCTTCATGATTTGCTCTCAACAGAGTTAAAATAAGATCTTATGAGCATTTCTTATTATTGCTTGGCATGTATAATTTTGACGTTTTTTGCAGGAGAGGAAGAGGAAATGAGAAACTGAGCTACTTTGCTTCCTTTGTTTCCATACTTTAGTGATTTGTCATTTAACCTTATCTCGTTGACTGTTGGCTCAGTGTTATTTCCAGCTGAATCCCACTATTCCTAGACAAAATGTACAGAAAGTCAGGACATGGATTGACAAGCAAAGTTCAATCACATTAAACAAATGAGCATGCACTTTCTGATAATAAATAGAAGCCATGACTTATGTTTTAATTCAGCCATTTGAACCTACCAGTTTCAAATTTTAAAAAAAAAGGCATTTTATAAAAGAAAATCAGAATATCATAGTCAAGCTAGAAGAGTTTAACTGCAGACTTGAAAAATTGGGCTTTAATGAAAGAATCCATAACTGTAGTTAAGTATTATATGTAACGTGTTATAATTTCTTGAGTTGGAAATGTCACAGTTACCCTACAAATATCAAAAAGTCCTTCATCTTTAAGGGCAGTAGTTAAAAATGCTTGATAGGCTTGAACAAGACAGTTTCATGGACCTTTTATCTTAAAGACTGCTAGTAGTAAATAGACCACAACTTGAGGAACAAAACATTTGTAAATGTAATGTCAGTTTCTAATTAAATATAGTGACCACTTACATGGATCTGTGAATTCTCTTTGCAGGCCACAGACCTAGAAAGCATATAGCACTATGTAGAAATGACTTTTTCAGTATTGGCTACTGACAGTTTGAATGCTTAAGCTTTAGTCTAGGATTTGTAAACATGATTTTTGATCCTGTACTCACTGAAACAAATCCTACAGTTATTGTACTGTATATATGTATGTATATACTGTCCTGTATGAGTACAGGATGATCAGATGCTGATACATGTATATGTCTTAATCCAATTAGATCGTGCATTTTTTGATGATGGCACACAAGCTTTCCAAGCTATATTTTTGCTTAACAATAGAATTTCATAGTTGAGAATTTTGGGTTTATTACCCAGTTTATGGAGCTGATCCATGAAGAAGGAATTGTAGGTGGTCTTTTGTCTGAATAAGTATTTTCTTTGAAGGTCCTGTGATTAGTTTTGCTTCACTGTCAGTGGGAATAAGGCTCTGAATTTTGTATTTCTGGACTGTGTCAACCACAGTGGGTACAAATGAGTTGGCTGTACCTGGAGACATGCCACCCCCAGCAACATGGTAGGATTGTACAAAAGCAGGATTCAACAGGAGTGTGAAGTCCACCAAGGTACAAAACCTACAAGCCTGGAAAATCCTCCAAGAAGTTGCTTGAGGGACTGTCTGAATTCTTGCATGCTGCTCCTGTTTATTCTTTGGTCAATATCATAACAGACATACACAGAATATTGTTGGCTCTGGAGCACGCAAGAATTGGGTACTCCTTCTAAATATATATTTCTTTAAAAAACTTCTGTCATTTTCAGTTGAAGAAAAAAATGTATCATCTTCACAGAGTTGAGAAGAAAGAATTGACATCAGAGCAGGAAAATGTACCTGACAAGAGAGACTCCAGGAGGCCAGACTGTTTAACTTCTCAAAAAAAAAAAAAAAAAAAAAAAAAAAAAAAAATTAAGTGCCTCCCTGATAGCCTGTCCATATCCAGATTAAAGAGATGTCTTTCCAGAAGAAAAAACTGAAAAATTTCCAAGCAGGAATTTGTTGCTAGTCAAACTCAGAAGTAAGAAACCCAGAATTTTCAAGCAGTTTGCTGAGATTTTCAGTAGGATGTGGCAGGATTTTTACAAACAAAATTTTAAAAAGTTATGCATAGGTATAATGTGAATGAATTTAGGCCAGCCTTGTATTACAGTATAGCCTGTATAACACTGGACTCCAAGATTTTTCCAAATGATTATGAAATATAATAATTGACATATATTTTTTAGGATGGAAAACAGTTTGCAGAAGTCTTAAGAAAAAATATTGCAAGTAACTAGTTGTGGAGGCCCAAGGACCACTTACTAAAATCATCCCTTGACCTTTGAAAGGTTGCAATAAGTAATACATCCCAAGGTTAGGGTGAGAGAAGCCTCTTTCACACAGGCCTTTTGGTTCATATATTAATTTCCTCTGAGTTCTGTTGTCCCATTGGCCCGTTGGCTCTGACTACCCCTGTTCAGCCCTCATTTCTATTTATGTATATCCTCTAGAATGTTCTCCCTT